AGTGTCATGGAGACAGAGAATGATCAGCTAATGATAAAAAATAGAAGTCAAGACATTAGATATAAGTAATGTTGAAGCAGATTATTCTTCTAGTAGTGACATTTCCTGCTGGAAAACTAGAAGGGTTGTGTAAAATATATACATATTTGCTGGAAGTCCTCTGTTAGACTAAATATTAGCTATCAAGGAAAGTGAAGAATTATAGGGTGAAGATTAAAAAGAGGAGGAGGGCAACTCAGTATTAAGTCTGGCATTTGGACCTGTATTTCATTTTGAGGCATTTGCTAATTCTGAAAGTGGTAGCTGAGCCTGAAAAGAACTTTCAGTAGGTTTTTGGGTCCAGGGAGGCAAAAAATGAGCTCAGGGTCAACAGAAAGGGAAGTACCTTAGTGAACACTTAAGTTTTCAGTTGGGTTCCCAACAAGTTCACTTTAATAGAAAGTGTGAAATGGAAGTAGAACTGACTCAAAATCACTTAAGCCCAACTTCAAAATGCTTCAATCCTTTATTGAAAAAAGGTAATCTGAGATTTTTACTGCCCCTTAGATTACCTACCTGAAACAAAGTAGATTTTTATTCTCTGAAGAATACAACATAATCTAGATTTTTAAATTATCTTTGTATGCTTTCACATAAATATCTGTGTCTTATACTTACTCAGAAATAGCCAGACATACTTAGAGCTATGATACATGACTAGAAATCAATAGCAGAAAATGGAACCTGGCCCCCAAGTGTTCCAGTTACTGGAGATACCAGACACAAGCTGTAAAGTATCTATGCTTAATACATGTTCAAATAATAAAAGATGTGATTGGTAATTTGGCAGAATTAGAAACCATATAAATGTAAAGGTTAATATAAATGAATGTATTTGAAAATAAATTTGTTTATATATGTGTATAAAGATATGTAATATATATTAATATGGATGTATACATATTTTAAAAAGAACATCTGAATTGAAACCGGTAGCGGTAGGGAAGATGATGTAAAATATAAAAAAGAATTTAAAAGACATGTAGGATATGATGAAAAGTTCTAACAAATGTAATTGAAGACTCAGATGGGGGTGAGAAAATGGAGCACAACCTTTTTTGAAGTTGTAATGGTTTCCAGTTTTGATCAAATGGTTTCCAGAAATGATCAAAAGCAATCATAGAATCAGGAAGTGGTATGGAATCCAACCTGAGAGTATGCAAAGAAAATTACCCCATATACTCTTGGTAGTGAAACCTACCTCATAATACAAATAAAAGTCAATTTCATGTAGATTATGACTCTAAATCCTATAAGGCAACAGTATTTTTATGTCTTTAAAGTGTGGGAAATATTTCTTTATATGACACATAAGACACTATCACAGTGAAAAATTGATTTGAGCACATTAAAATTAGGAATGTTTTTGCAAAGAATGAAAACTTGCCACACAGTAGAAAATAATATTGAGTTTTGAATGGCACTTCATCAAGAAAGTATGAAGTTACCCAGGAAATATATTTTAATTTAAATATATATTTTTTAATTGAGGTAACATTGGTTTACAATACTGTTTATGAGACAGAGGTATAGTATTACATCTCTTCTGATGTGATCTCACATCACATGGGATGTATGGGAGTAGAACTCCCATAGACTGTTGGTGGAATAAAAATTGTTACATTAATCTGGAGAACTAGTTGAATGTATGCCTAGTTTTATGCCAAGCAGAAATGTGTGCTCTATATGTGCACCAAAAGACTCAAATAAGGGTTATCACAGCATTATTTATATTGGCCCTCATAGAGAAATAGCACAAGTTTCCTCCAGCAGTTGAGTCCTAGAGTAAATGTACTATTTTTATGTACCCCAGGATAATGTATAATAACAATAGGTGAGTTACATTTCCTCGCAAAATATGAATCTTATGATTTCATTGTTGTAAAGTTAAAATATGAAAAACTCTGTGTGTTGGAAGTCTCCATTGTATTTGAGCAACAGGGTAGTAATTAGGAAGAAATATGAAGGCAACTTAATGTGACTGATGTTCAGTTCTTGGCCTGAATGGTAGCTACTCATGTATGTTCCTGTCATGATAATGTTCTGAACTTTGTGTTTGTGCATCTGAAAATATATGCCAACATGCCACTTGAGTGAGATAAATGTGATAAGATTTCTCCTGAGTTTTTCTAAAATGTCAGGAAAATATATAGTCCAGTAAGAATGCTTCTTTTTTGAAATACATTGTTTTTACTACCTCATCTCTTAAATGACCACTGATCAAAGAATAGAATATATGATTTTTCAGTAGAATTTATACACTTGTAATCATTCATGCTTTGGTGCCAGTGTTCTTATTTTTCTATTACTAGTCTTACAGTAGGGAACTTGCCCTCATCTGAATTAATAAGTGGATTGACTTATGAACAATGTTAGTAATGCATCACTATATTCTGTAGTAAATAAAATACCTGTTTCAGTTATTTGCTGTATTTTGTTGGCTGCTATGTATTTTAGCAAAAAGTTTTCTTTATACATATAACTCTTCTTTTCTCTATCTTAAATTATAACACCTATATCTTGAATAGTTTTTCCTCAGGGCATTAGGAAAATTAACCTAAGATTTTTTTTGATCTAATTTTCTCTTGTTTTTGGTAAATTTTTAGATAAACTAAAATTTTAGAACACACAATTGAATATCCACATATAAAAAAATGATTTTGAACCTCATCTCAACTATATTCAAAATTTGACTGAAAACAAATCATTTACCTCAATATGAAAGCCATAAAACTAAAACTCTTAGAAGAAAACAGATACATTTTCATGGGTTTGGGTTTGTGTGAAGGATTTTTCGATATAATAACAAAAGCTCAGACAACAACAAAAAGTTAACTTGGACTTCATTAAAATAAAATTTTTTTTTCATCAAATAGCATTATCAGAGTAGTGAGAGGACAAACAGAGTGGGAAATATAATTTCCAAATCGAGTATCTGATAACAAGTTCATGACAAGATATTTAATAACATCACTATCATTAGGGAATGCAAACCCAAACCACAGTGGGCTCCCATTTCATATCCACTAGGGTAACAACAATAATAAATAACAAATGGAAAATAACAAGTTTTTGTCCACAAGTGGAAAAATTGGACCCCTCGTACACTGCTTATGTGAATGTAAAATGTTTGAGTTACTGTGAGAAAGAGTTTGGTAGTTTCCCAAAAAGTTAACAGAATTACCATATGACCCAGGCCTTTTCTCCTAGATATATATCTAAAAGAAACGAAAACAAGTCTTCATATCCTTTGTGAATGAATGTTCATGGCAGCATTGTTTCCAGTATTCAAAAGGTAGAAACAAAAATGTAGTTTGCAGTAGTCAAAAGACGTCCTTCAATAGCCAAAGTATTGTGCTACATGCATATAATGAAATATCCACAAAAAGGAATGAGGTAGTGATAACATGATACATTGATAAACCTCAAAAATATTATACTACTTAAAATAAGTCAGACACAAAATGTCTCATGTTCTATGGTTAGTTCTGTTACGGAGCAGCCCCGATATAAAACGGGTTGCCTGGCTGTGGGTCCTCACCCGCGCGCTTTAAAAGGGACTTATTAATACTCCACTACAGGCACACACAAAAGGTTAATAAAAGGTTTATTTACAATGGAAAAGGAATTGAGGAAATGTACAACTCAGGGAGAAAATAGGGAAATAAAGTCTTTAATGTGTCCTACCCGATCCGCCGACCCGGAAACCCAAAGGTACTCTCAGAGCAGGCCTCGAGCTTCGAGCTGCCGGGGAGCCAAAATGGGGAATTCCCCAAAGCCCACTTGTCTGGTTTTATACCAAACCTGGCTGCTTAACCCCACCCTCAGGTTACAGCAACCTTCCCTTTGGTGGTGATGGGATTTGTAGTTCCCAGTGTCTTTTGGCTTTGGTCTGGAGTGGGGGCGGAGTCCACAAAGCCTGTATGGAATTAGCTTTAGGACATCCTTTTCCCCCTAACAGTTCCATCTATATGAAATATCCAGAGTAGAAAAGTCTGTAGAAATGAGACAAATCTGGTGGCTGTCAGAGACTAGATGGAGGAGGGAATGGGGAATAACTGTTTAATGAGAATAGTAGTATTTTCATTGTTGGTAGATAAAACCAGTCATTTTGAATGGAGGGTTTACCTTGGTTTACCTTTGGTGTGCAGTATTTATGATTCAAAATTACTGGTTTCTAATTGATGTGAAATGTCATTAAATTACTTGTGGTCCTGTGATACATTCTTTTGAAAGACCAAATTTTGAAAATTATTCAGTATTGCACTCAGGAATTTCTTACCTTGTGCTGTAAGACCTATGCACATTTTCACTGACTGGTGTTATCATGAATATCTAATATGTGTGCAAGTATGTCAGTTTTAATACTTGTTCTTAGTATCTGAAAAGATCAGGAACTTAATATGTCTTTATGTGTAGTACCAAAAGTGTGTACCTTTTTGGTGACAAACATTAATATGGCAAAGAATTGTTCTCAGTGTTTTTTCCAGCGTATTTCTTATGTACTTCATAGATTAATTAAATGAAATGTTAATAAGATTTTTCTAATAAAATATTAGAATTACAAGGTTATAATTCTCTCATTTGTGACTAATCAGCCTAGCCTCAGTTTCTCTTAAATTTATTTTTTTTAATCATTGTGATTATTCTAAGTAAGAATTTTAAATGGCACTAGGATTCCTATTTGTTTTCAGTTTCATATATGTCAGTTACAGAAAGTGGTCTGGATTTAAGTCTGATAATACTGTTCTTTTTGAGAAATACTGTTCCCTTACTGCTGCAAAGACATAAGAAATAGGCATTGTTTGTTAGTCAGAAGCTTATTTTAGAGAGAAGGTCCCCTTTTCACCAAAGTAAACTCTCTCTCTCTCTCTGTTTCACACTTTTTTCAGGCTAACAAAAAAATAGAAAAACCTAGATAGCTCTAACTATTAATAACTTATTAAATATTTTTTAATCAGATGAAAAAACAACACTGGACCAGAAGCCTTCTAAACCAGCTGCTCCACAAGTCCCACCCAAGAAACCTACTCCACCTACCAAAGCCAATAATTTATTGCGATCTCCTGGAACAATATACCCAAAGCGACCTGAAAAACCAGTTCCTCCACCACCTCCTGTAGCCAAGTAAGTTTTACCTAATTTTAAGTTAGCTTTGGCTCTACTGCCTTTCTATAACTCAAAGTAAGTTTTGAGTAATTGTGCCCATATTTGTTATTTAAATGTTAATCTTACATTCATAATAAGTGAATTCGTTTAACTTGATATTTCTAACAATAGTTTTTGCTGTGATTAGTCTTAGGGTGGATATTTATTTCCATAAAATAATTTTATGGAACAGAAAGAGATCAGTCTTATGCTAAACATCTATAGCACCATTTAATCAGTTGTTAAAAAATGATCATGTTTCACATATGAGTGATTTTTTTCATATGTTTGATTTTTCTCATTCAGGATTAATGGGGAAGTTTCTACCATTTCATCAAAATTTGAAACTGAACCAGTATCAAAACCAAAACTAGATTCTGAACCGTTACCACCTAGACCAAAATCAGTAGACTTCGATTCATTTACATTTAGGAGCTCTAAAGAAACAGGTAAGTTATATGTAGAAAGATGATGTCATAAAAACATTGCCAGTGGTTTCACAAATTATTTAAAATAAATTTGTGTATACAATTCGTGTGTGTAGATGCTGTGGAAATTAATTCAAATTTATTTCAAATTTATGAAGTCAAAATAGAAAAAACAAAAAAGATAAATAGGCAAAATAGTTATGCTTTACATAAACTTTCTTACTGCTTGGAGGAGCTTAAAAGATATCCATTTATCATGTTATTCAAAATGCATGGCCTCAGAAGACATGAATACATTTTTGTTTGAAAAATTTTAAAAAATGATAAAGACTTTAAATTCCATTACTGGATTATTTTAAGTAGACTTTTTATTTTTCCACTTAAGATACTTTCCCCCCCCACCCCAATTCAGGAAAATAGACTTTTTACTGACATTTTCTCTGTATATATAGATCAACAGTCGTGGGTAAATGTCCCTTGAGTTTCAGTATTGATTTTTTTTTTTAGCCCATTAATCAATTATTTGTGTCCTGATCTTTTTTTTGTAGAATAAAAAAATGTTGAAATGGAGAATCCTTAATAATAGTTTAACTGTGGAAAGTGTTACATAATCATTACTTTGTAGTAATAGTTATGATATTGTGCTTTTCAAGTATTTTTACATTTTCAAAGCACTTTCTAATATATATTTTATCTTTACAGTAATTTAAGAGGCAGATGCTATTTTTCCCTATTTTCTGTATAAACAAAGCGAGTCATAAACTTGCCAGATTTCCAAGATCATATAAATCACATGAGAACTCTTTAAATCTATGTAAAGTGCTCAGATATTGTTTAAAAATTTAGTCTTATTTTTTTTATCTTCAGTATTAACTTTTTGTATTTATATTTGAACTTCAAGGCAAATAACATTTTTTTTTTTTGTTTTGTTACTGTATTGTCAGATGTACAATACAGTTTATGTGTTTTAGATGTTTTATTTTTCTTCCTCTTTTCAGTTTGCCAGTACGAAAGTTGTGACCTAAGTATGGCTTCATTGTTTTTTTTAAATTTGTATGTTTTGTTTTATGTCTCTTTCATTATGTAATGGATCCTTTCTACTCTGGATGAAGCTATATTCATTAGCAGTTTTTGGAAATTGGGATGTTGATTATATTTTAGAGCCATTCACTCAAATATATTCAGTTATGTTTTAGCCTGTGAAGAGTGTTCTTACTGTTAAATAAAATAAAATCCTTCTTAGGTTATTAGAAAGTATCTTTTACTCTTTTTTTATTGAAGTTACTGGTAAAAAGTAGAATTTTATCAGTCCTTACTATTTTCTCATTTATTTAAAATATAGCTGGAAATAGGTTTTCAAAAGTAAACTTTAACTTTCAGATGTATACTTTTAACTCTGAAAATAAAATAATCCATTGGTATTTTTGAACTTCTACAGTATGTTCAGTCTTTAAAACATAAATCTTAAATTTTGATGAGTCTTTTTGGGGGACCTGAGCCTGTTTTTTTTTTTTTTTAAACCTGCATTTTTATGTTACTTTGTATCACTCATATATTTATTTTTTCTAAAGGGTGTGGAAATTACAAAAGAAAATTCAGTAAATTAAAAGAAATTTTCACTTTTTCTGAAATTTTTTTTATATACAATCACTAAGAAGTTTGTGTTTCCTTTGCTCTTTCTAACAGAAATAGTACAAATAGTAATATAAAACTACTGGTGGTTGAAGGTTTATTTTTTATGGTATTTTTGGTCTGAATTATTTTCTTCTATTTGTAGTCATTATTTACTTTCATTTAAAAATGAGGCTTTGTGGAGTGGGGTTTGAAAATTTCTTATTTCTGGTTGGTTTTTCTTCAAACAAAAAAAGGAAGTAATTTTTAAGAGTGGCTGCAGCTAAAACAAGGTCAGTTTCAACTAAGTTTCAAACTACTGTCCTTTAGTTCTTGAGTTACCAGATTGCCTTTCATGTACTATGTCACGTACTATAAAGCTCAGAATACATAATTGTTGGGAATTGAGTTCGTATTAAGTAGCAAATATTTACTGAGAAAGTGTTATATCTTCAGTTTTGTTACAGGTACAACTAATATGCTAAGATAAGGGGTGGTCGCTGTTGACAAAAATAACTTCAATCTCAAGCCTTAATTCAGAGACTATTCCCTATTTCCTTTTTTTTAATCAATTTTCTTTTTGTCACTATATTGTAAAATATATTTTACATGTTTTCAGTATGTGTGGCATAAAATGTTCTTAGTACTTTGTATGAACATGCTTCTGCCTCTTCTTTGAGATATTAACACCTTAAAAATACTGTAGATTGAATGAAGTCTCAAATTTGGCATTAGGTTGAGGCATAATTTATATATTTGGCTCAGTTTGAGATTTTAAATTTCTGAAAGTAGCATATGAACGTAGTCCTTTAACAGAAGTTTCAGAAAGTTTAAAACAAATGAAAATCTTGTTATTTTTTAAAAGAACTTTTTACTTATTTTTTAAAGATTTATGTTCTTTATTTATGCACATAGAAGAACTGGGGTCTAGGCCAGAGGTGCGGGAGTGAGAGGATTCACCAGAGACTGAGTGGGGAGCAGAACAGGCAGACCAATGAAGTACACTGCTGAGGGGAGCAGCGGGCGAGACAGGAGAAGTCTGCTGTGCCATGTGGGTCAGCTCCCTGACTGGGGATCAAACTCGTGCTGCTGTTGCTACCCATAGCTTGATAATGCTGAGACTTAACCCCTATACCACTAGGGAGGCCCTCCAAATGAAAATCTTTGTAGAATTATTATGTAAAATAACTTGAGGTAAAACAGTATATGACATAGTAGAAAAGTACATTGACTTTTTTGTTAAAAAATGGGCGTTTTAAATTAGAAACTTATTGCTCATTGGGCTATTTCTTAATCTCTTTCTCATTGACCTTTTAATGAAATCATCTAGTATATCTGTGATACCTATTACAGTATCTGACATGAAAGTTCTTATAAAATTTTATTTCTCCCTCTTCCATTGTTAATCCATTTTATTCAGTTTCTGCTTAACTATATAGGATGTGTATTCCTGACTCTACTCTGAGATTATTTCCCTGTTTAGAAAGCCATATATGTAAATTATGTATACTGACTTTTGAACATAGAAGAAAAATACTACAATTGTTTTTCTTCAAGTCTTTCCAGATATATTGTATATATGGTATACAGTGCTGCAGATTGTGGTACTTTAGAACCAGATTTTCATTTTGTTTTTCTCTCTTTCAAGTACTTTATTAAAAATTGGTTTAAGATAATCTCACTGCCAATGCTGGTTATAGAGTTCACATGATCTAAATATTTCTAAAGTAGTAAATTTTCCAAGAAGTAAAGCTGTTTCACAAGTGGTTTTGGAATCCAATATGTCCTCCTTAATATCATTAATAGATTCTTGGAAATGTGACTTTACGTAAAACAGTGTTTAAAGAAACTAATTTGACCATAGGCTAATTGGTATAAACAGAAGATAAATTCCCATAGCATATTTCACATCACAAAAACATCACCAAACTTCTGTATAAACACCTAGTCACTTCTGATATAAACTAATTTGTATTCATTCATTCATTCATCATTTATTTGCCAACCAGCTTTTTTGAGCTCAGGGTTAAGGGTGGCTGGAGCCTGTCCAGGAAGTTCAGGACATGAGACAGGAACCCACTCTGGACAGGACACCTTTCCATCACAGAGCATATCCCACACACCTACCCTCCCTCACACTTGGATAATCTTTGGAATATGGGAGGAAGCTAAAGTACTCAGAGAAAACCCACATAGACATGGGAAGAATATACAAACTTAACATAGACAGTGGCTGGCTTCAGGCTGGAATCAATTTTGTTTTGCTATCAACATTACATCAAGTATCAGCTATACAAAATACAAAATTTAGTGATAACTATTACATTGAGAAAACACAGGTTATAAAGATTTCTCTTACTGTAAGGTTTTTAATCCTTCCTATGGTTCTTCTGTGGTAAATTCTTGAATTGAAAGGAAATTTTAGGGATACAGATTCCTTGATAATCCTTGGTAGTCCTTGAGTGGTAGACAGTATAAAAACAGCCTGTACTAAACTCTGATAAAAAACAAAACACTGCACCCTAGACTACATCTGAGGAATAAGAGCAGATTAAAATTTTATGTTCTAATAAGAATTTTCTTGATAGTACCATTTTAGAGAGTATCATTTAAAGCATGATTGGATTTTCATTATGAATGAGGTTTTAAGCATTGGATTGAATTGATTTTTTATTATGAGATATTTGAAAGTAATTTTGACATTTTTCTTTTATTATATCAATTAAAATTGTGTCTTTCATTGTAATCACTATAATATGCTAAAGACTTGACTAAAAAGTGGTTTAATTTTTGTTATAACTATATTAATGAATTGTTGATTTATTCTGTGATCTCTAAGTAAATTTTACCACTAAATTTTCCAACAACTGTTTTGTGTCCAGTGAATATTAAAAAAGGTTTCTTTATAGCTTAATTTGTGTTGAAATTAATACTAATCATAGTTTTTCCTTTTTGAAAGACAAAGGAATAAATCTAAAATTTGATATATCTCTTATGTAAGCTTAAATAAACTGCAGTAATACTAAACAAAGAAATGGTTCTATTCATTCTACAATTGTTCCTTTTTCCTGCTTTGTGAAATAATTTTTTTGGTTTAGTCTTTTTTCTAGACATTCCTATCCTTGACTTTTCTTTCCAGATTTTGTTTCCTAGCCTGTTTGCCATGTTTCCCTTCTTACGTGTCAGAAAATTATCCTACCTTTCTCCATTTTGGTAAGATGACAATTTATAAAAGAAATCACAATAGTGTATTCAGTATAAATAGGTGGTGCACATTGATTTTTCTTTATAATTTTACTAAAAGTATACATGTTTGTCTGTCTATTTATTCTAACCCTTTTGGTTTTCCATTTTAAAATAAAGTGAGATTCATGTTGAAAATATTTTCTTGCTTAAAGATATGCTTTGATAAAAACTTTTTTTAATCAGCAGCCGTAAGGGTCAGTTATTTTGATTCTTTAAAATTTCTTGTCTGCTTAGTCAGTATGTGGAAATGTAAATGGCAGAGTGACAATGTGATTGCAAGAGTTAAGTGATTGTCATGCTTTTATGCCACATGTACAGTATAAATCCATTGATATTGCTCTTAGGTAATAAAAAAATGTTCAAATATATCATGAGTCAAAAATGTGCACTATTTGATTTTACTAAACCAATGACTTAAATGGAGAACCTGAGAGAGTTTTAGAATAGTAAAATTATTTGTTGTGGTATTTTAACCCCAAATTGGACATATACAAGGCATTTTTACATAAGCATGGTATATAATTTCATAAATCTACCTTTTAATTACCTTTTCAGTTTCATTTATCTTCATCCCTTCCTATGTTTTTCTTTCTTTTTCTTTCTGAAAGTTGCTTAAATATGCATTTGAAAATAATCCCCACAGACCAAAATGATTGCATCATGTTAGTTAAGGCTTATTTGAAGATTGTCAGTACACATTTTTCAGTGTTAAAGCAGTTTATAACTCTTCAAACTACAACATAATTTTAAACTTTTAAAATATTGTTTTGTTTATGATATTTACAGATAAAATGAGGTAGTGTATATTTATAAACACAAGGTCTTTCACATTACAGGATACATTTTCCATTGAAACTGCTGTTTCTTACTATGGTTTGTTATATTTTATAACTACTTTTAGGCAATTTTTAAGTGACTCAACACAAAAATTGAACCAAGCACACTAGATTGCCTGTTGTAAAGTATTAACTTAGTGATTAGATGACAGATAGAACACAAAGAAGTACCACAATGTGTAATGGAAAAAAAATGAGATGAGACTAACAAATACTTTGAGTTATTATAAAATACATATCACTAACTAGAGATACCTTTTTCTGTGTCTTACCTTTGTATCCTCCATGCCTTAAATTTCTTTCTAGATAAATTCCTTTGAATATGAAAATTGATGAATAAATTTTTAAGGAAGTTATGATAAGTATCCTTAGATTTCTTTTGAGAAATAACAAGTAACTGAGTTGGGACATATAACTATTTGGCAGAAAGCGTTGTAAACATTCAGGCAAATGGTAATGTGGCATATAACCTCCTACAAGGAATATTAGGCCAAAGATACCTGCTGCCATGTAGAGTATTTGATTATAATTAATATCCCTAGTTTGGAATCTGGGCTAAAGGAAGGTTATATTTACAATACAGGTGTCTGGAATGACAGTTTCCTGTGTCACTTTTCATTATTTGTACTTTAAAGTTAAAGATGATCTCCTATAGCAAGGTTTTCTGGATCATGTAGAAAAAGGGGGAGGAATATACCATTGTTCCAGAGATTCAAATTGCCTAGATTTGTCCTTAAGCCCAACTTAGTGGGTGCAAGGTTGGCCAGCATTTGATGGTGGGGAAACACAAGTGTATAATCTATGTATAATTTTCCATTGCTATTAGATTTGCTTTAGGTTGATAACTATCTTATTATTCTGAAACATGGTAATGTCTAAGCAGAGATGCAGTGAAATTTAAACAGTCTTCGAGTTCCACTATATCATATTGTACACATATATTTATACATATAACGTAAAGATATTAAATCATAATTTCATTACATATTGAGAAGTGTAGTTGGAAAGCAGCAGGGTCCCAAATATAGTTGAGTCCTTAAGGTTTGCATATTAGGATATTACTTAAGTTTAAAGCAAATTTTATGATTTAGTTTTCTGTATTATGAGTTGAAGAAGTAGGTCGTGTTTTTTTATAAGCAAAAACTTAATATAACAGCTTTTTTTATGCTTCCACAACTTATGGTACAGACTTCTGTCTTTCAATAAGAAATATTTGTTGAGACCTAAGTCTCTATTGCAAACATGAACTTTATATTCTTCTTAATAGTCTTATACTATAAAATGTATTAGGTAAAGGAATTTTTTAAGGGTGAGTGTTGTTTTCCAAATGCATATGAAAAGCACAGGTCAACTTGTGCGTCCTAGTGGTACTGTTTTGAATTTATAGTTTGTTAGAAGTCCAAAAGCAATCTTTTTTACCATTAAAAATATAGTTTATCTTAGTAGATATGTTTAATTTTATTCTCCAGATCTTATAAATTTTGATGATATAGCTTCTTCAGAAAACTTACTACATCTCACTGCAAATAGACCAAAGATGCCTGGAAGAAGGTTGCCCGCCCGCTTCAATGGTGGACATTCTGTGAGTTAAGAGTTGCTGTTGTAAAACACAGAGAATCTAGCAATTCCAGTGTCTTTTTGAAGATAAGAATGAGGATGGGATTTATACCTCCACCTTAGTTTTAAAATCAGGAAGATATACTTAAGTGGCAAATGATTGTATTTAAGGAGATACAGGGAGTTAAGTTCATTTCAACTGGACTTGGAATGGAAAGTTACAGAATCAGATATAGACTTGTTGTGAAACTGTAACTTTAGAGTACAGGGTCATAAGGGGACAGGGAACCTGTGTAGTCCAGCTGCCCAGCAACAGTAATTAGAATGGTGTATTGTATGCTCACTTTGGGAAAGAAAGGGAATTCCTCCTTCCCCCTAATCTAGTCTTTAATATATATTTAATATATATTTTTATATATTTAATATACATATATAATATATATTTAATATATATTTATTTAACATATATAATATATTTAATAAACATATATAAAGTATATATTAAATATATAAAATATATATTTAATATATCATTAAATATATATTTATATATATTTATATTTAATATATAAAATATATATTTAATATATCATTAAATATATATTTATATTTAATATATATTTAATATATAAAACATTAAATATATATTTAATATATGTTTAAAAATATATATTTAAAGAGCAGATTTATTAGGGAAAGGGAGAGAAGAATAAAGGACACTTGCATAGACACAAGCGGATAGGAAGAGCTGCCCCAGAAGGGACAGGTTTGCTGGGAGAGGCCTGCATGGTTGCAGGTGGGCGGCCTTGACAGGTCATAGGCAGGCAGGAAGCTGCTGCCCTGCAGAGGGAGAGAGTTGGTGAAAAGAGGCACCTGCATAATCACAGGTGGGCAGGAGTTTCCTGCCTTTTTTTTTTTTTAATAGTACTAATGTTAGTTATTTAAATATGTAACTTCTTTTTATGCTTTCTGTACAATGCTCCAGATCTTGTTAGTTCTTTAGTGTAAGTATAGTAACTCATAAGCACTGTGGTGCTTTTAAATTACTTAAGTAGAGAAATTTTTTGTTGCTTAGAGGCAAATAGCTCTTTTTCCCCTCAAGATATGCAGTGTATTATACATCATGAAATTATGTAATATCCTGTTAGAATGGAATGTCTGGAACAGTAGCTACTAAAACAGTGATAAAAGTTATGTACTTTATTCAAATGTCTATTTCTTTTCCTTCCTTGATTTTTTTCTGTTGCTCGATTTTCAAAAAATCATTTAGCCAACTCAAAGTCCGGAAAAAATCTTAAAGTTACCAAAAGAAGAAGATAGTGCCAATCTAAAGCCATCTGAATTTAAAAGGGATTCGTGCTACTCCCCAAAGGTGAGGTGCATTGTGGTCTACAGTTAATAAAATTTGTAAAATTCTTTGTAAACATCAAAATTGTGGGATTTAAAATATTCCTTATGAAGAATTATTTCTTTTGCCAAGAAATGATCTGTTAAAAAATTTAGTTGTTAAACAAGACACATTGTTCTTTTGGTTCTTTCTTTAGAAGAGCTAACATTATTTTAAATGAGTAATATAAATGTTACATGTTTCATATTTTTTAAAGTGTTGATGTATACATCTGTTTCATTATTTCATTAAACATACCCTCTTCAAGGTAAAAAGCTATCATTTGTTTACTCCTTACCTAAGTTGGTATTTTGCAATGTAACTGAATATATGCTTTAATGAATGACATAAATGATTCCTTATTTATGAATGAATTACATGCTGTTCATCAGTATTTTCTAAACTCTCAACATTTTTATTTAAGATAGTACTATATAGCTGATACATGTATTTCAGAAGATCGTGTTTCCTCCTTAACTTTGTTTTAGGACTTTTGCTGCCATTTCAGTTTATGAGATATACTTAATCTGATTCTCCCAACTGTCTAGTAGTCTAATGAAATTTTACTTGCTGTTGTTTTGTGTAATAAAATCACGTCAGACCATGTGTTAATTTTAGTACTTCTTACTTAGATTTACTAATTCTTCTGAATTATTTTCCAGTGAAACTTTTTGGGTATTCTAAATAATAATTATTTCATATAAATGAGCAAAAAACAACTTCAATAATAGTGCTGGCATAGTCTTGCTTTTTGGTGCTCCACCAGGCAAAACCATTCATAAGATAAATCCAATGGATTTTCCTCCTCTTTCTTTTTAAAATGGTCTTGGCATTTCTTACAAAACCCTGAGTGATTATAGATTTATCTTCAGTTTTTTGGCAGTTTTGCCACTTATGTACATCACACTGCTTTTTGAATTTCTAAATTTACCATTTATCTTGAAGTATTACTTTATCTCCTTGCTATAAAATTGTTTGAACTTAAATATAATATAAACATAAATACAATATAATATAATTATAATATAAACATAAATATAATAAAAACATAAACATATATTAAATAAATATAATATAAACAATATAATAAAAACATAAATCAGAAACTTTTATTGTATTTTCTGTTTACTATATTTTCAGCCGTCTGTGTATTGTTCAGCACCTTCAAGTGCTTCTAAACCAAATATGACTGCTTTTGTAACTCCATTAGAAAGCAAAACTAAAATAGAAACAGATGATGGGAAAACAAATTCCCTGGATGAACTTAGAGCTCAGATTATTGAATTGCTGTGCACAGTAGAAGCATTGAAAAAGGATCATGGGTAAGTTGCCCTTGTTTTCTTCTTTGAGTATTACTTTACACTTGTGTGAAGAATTTTTTTAAACTATATTAAGTAAAGATGTGTTCTGCCAGATTATCATATGAACAAAGAATATATTTTCAAAGAAATTTTATTAATAGTACTTTTCTCCTTTTGGCACAATTGAACTAGAAAATTTGTTCTAGTAGCCTGATATTGTAAAGTAGCATATGTATCTTTTTTTTTTTTTTTTTTTTAAGATTTTCTGATTTTTTAAAACAATTTATTTATACAAGAACCGGCATACAGGGCAGATGTGTGGGAGGGTGAGAGGATTCACCAGAGACAGAGTGGGGAACAGAACAGGCAGACTGAGGAAATAGACTGCTGAGGGGAGCAGTGGGAGAGACAGGAGTAGTCTGCTTTGCCATGGGCATTCTTGCCAGCTGGCCAGGATCGAACCGGCGCTGCAGAGACTGTGGACAGCTTCACAGTGCGGTGCTTAACTGCCTGTGCCACCAGGGAGGCCCAGCATATGTATCTTTAAAGCTAGAAATCTTGTGATCAAATGTATGTTAATTATTTTTTTTTTAATTTTATTTTTATATTCCCTATACAATTGCAACCCCCTTATTTTGATAAGGATTCATTTCTTTTTTTTCTTTTTTTTTTTAAGATTTATTTTTTATTTATACAGTAGCTGGGGTACAGGCCAGAGGCGCAGGAGGGTGAGAGGATTCACCAGAGACAGAGCAGGGCATAGAACAGGCAGACTGACTGAAATACACTGCTGAGAGGAGCAGCAGGTGTGACACAGAGGTCTGCCACTCCATGTGGCAATCTCCCTGGCCGGCTGGAAATCGAACCCGTGCTGCAGAGACGCTGTGGACAGCTTCACAGCACTGTGCTCAACCCGCTGCACCACTGGGGAGGCCCAGGATTCGTTTCTTTTTTCTTTTTTCTTTTTTTTTTTTTTTGGTGGGACCCTTGCCTGCGGCTGGGGAACGAACCAGCGCTGCAGAGGCTGCGGGCAGCCTCGCAGCCCAGCACTCAACTGCTGCGCCACCAGGGGAGGCCCCTGGGATTCGTTTCTTTACCTAAGATCACACATCTCTTAAATGGCAAAGCTAGAACCTAAACCCATATTTACTATTGGCTTAGAGCTCTCTTTCATTAGTATTCAGATTGCTAGCAAGTATAAAAAGGAGGCATTATTTAATTTATTGATAACCTATAGAAATAGGAAGTTAGATTTGAAGCATATTTTATGTTGTATTCCAAATACATTCTAGATAGTTTTGAGTTAAATATTTTAAAATTATGGCCAATAGAAAACAGTAGACAGTTTACTCCCAATATAGATAAGTAATTTTGTAATCATTAAAACCACAGGAAAAAAATAGTTTTGAAATTGCATAATTTAAAACTGCCTTTCTCATATATTCTTTCTTTATGAGTTTTCAAGTTTCTCAAACTATTATGTCTATAATACTCTTGAAGATAATTTTTTTAGTATATGTTGAAGCTGAAAATACACATACTTTTGATTTAGAAATTTGATACACTGATATATTTATGGTGTTAAGTGAAATTTCTAGTCTTCTCATTCCCTTTGCGGCTCCCCCCCCCCCGCCCCCAAATAAACTTAACTAACCAAACAGAAACCCTGGCTGTTTGAATATCAAATAGCAGTTATGAGAAATCTGCTAATTTTAGTAGCATGGAGATGTCTGAGGGTACTTTGTAAAAAGACAATACTATATGTTACTTATAGCTGTGGAGGGAAAATTAACTACAAAAAGATAAAAGGGAACAGAAAAAAAGAAAATATGAATTAAGGAAGAAGGATCATTGGCTGAAGTTTTTTGTTTACTGGTTTAGTTTTTGGATTTTAATGTAATATTTAATTTTTAAAGGTAAAAAAGAATGTGAAATCCAACTTCTTATTAAATAAGTTACAATTTATCTTGTACTCTGACATAATTTGACATTGATTTTACCAACTTGTTTGTTCAATATGGGAAATGCATGAAAGTTGGATATGGAAAACTTCTAAAGGCTAGTTACTGTTCTGTTTTGTCATGAGTTGCTTTGTATTCACTTTAACATTTCTTTCTCTCAGATTTTCCTTGGTTTTGTCTTGGCTAGTAGTTTCATTGAACCATTCAAACTAGGGAGTTAGACTTTTTTTTTCAACCAATTAGTAGTTTTTCCCATGTTCTGGGATGTCAGGCAACTCCTATTAATGTAAGTCAAATTCATCCTTTAATTTAAGGAGTTAACAGTAGTAAATACTTTGTTTTTAGGAAAGAACTGGAAAAACTAAGAAAAGATTTGGAAGAAGAGAAGGCAATGAGAAGTAACCTAGAGGTAATTCATTTCTCTCAGTATTGAGATTTTAGTCAGTGTAAACTGGACATATTTTTTCTAGTCAAGTTGCATGATTGGTTCCACTATGCTATACTACTTCATTTTGCACACTTTTGCTGCTTAGTAGTTATGTAATTAATCTTGTCAACTCCCTGTCACATTCCTTTCATTCTTGAAGCAAATATTTTTTACCTATTCTCATAGGCAGTGCACGAGGCACAAGGTATGAGGCATAAGGTATCATGAATAAAATAAATACGGGTCTTACCTCTGAAGAGTATCTACTTCTAGATCTTTTGTACTTTTTACTGCTTCTTTCTTGATCTGAAGTTCTCTTTTCTTCACCAATAGACTTTTTTTCTTTTCTTTTCTTTTTTTTTTAAGATTTATGCATACAAGAACTGGGGTACAGGCCAGAGGTGTGGGGGGTGAGAGGATTCGCCAGAGACAGAGTGGGGAACAGAAAAGGCAGATTGACTGAAATACACTGCTGAGGGGAGCAGCGGGCGAGTCTGGAGATGTCTGCTGCGCCATGTGGGTCACCTCCCTGGCCGGGTATCAAACTCATGCTGCAGTGACTGGCGATGGCTTGATAGCACTGACTTTTAACTGCCACCAGGGAGGCCCTCTAGTTACTTTTTTGTTGTCACATGCCATTTAGGAATTTGCATTGTGGTGTTTTCTTATGATGAACTTTTTCTATTTTCATTTATTACATCCTTGGAAATTGGATTTTAGATCTAAAAATCAATATCTGGATGCTTTAAACTATGATATCCTATATCTTAATGATATAGGATAAAACAAACTTTACTAAAGTAAATTTGATCTGTTGCTTAGATTATGTTTTGTATTGTAGATGGAAGTAGAGAAGCTGAAGCAAGCAGTCCTATCTTCTTGAAGAGGCACAGACCGCTGTTCTCAGTGCTCTAGGAATTCCAAAGCAACACTATGAACTTCAACAGACATAATACCTAAAAAATAACAAATGCTGATGTTGTGATAAAGAAGTATAAATATATAATGTCTATAGATAAGTAGGGAGAGGGTAAACTTTTTATATATAAATATATAAAAAGCATACACATACACGTCTTGCCAATCTGAAAAAACAGAGGCCTTATTTCTTATGTGCTGGGATTGCAAACTTTTTTTTTTAGTTTGCTTGAAAATACTACTGAATCTGTATAAAAGTAAAGAAAGTTCAACAATAGTTTTTTTATTGAAACTTGTAGTATTATTTTTAAAGAGATCTGTGCTATAAATATGGTGATATCTTTACAAATAATCTGTAAAATATACTACTTGAGAGGGACAAAATAGCTTTATAGTAACTATAGTCACTACTTTTCCCATAATACATAAGGGATATAAACTTTGTATATATAAATATTTTTTACTTTTAGCATCTTACCCAGGATTACACTGTTGTGCCTGTTTGTTTGCAATGCTATTTATATTCTTGGTGATAAAATAGGAATTTCCTAGTTATAAACCAGATTATTCACCCATGCCTATAGTACTAACTAATGAAATAATCAAAATAATTTCTCCAACTTTTAGAGTATTTTATATTGCTTGCACTACATAGGATTCACAAAAGGAGTTTAGTTAAATTGTATTGTTAAATAGACTTGGGAAAATATGAGCTATATTTTAAATTCATTAGGTCTAAGGAACTAAAAATGTTAATTTAACCCTTAACTTGTGCCTAGAAACTGCAGCACATATAATATGCAAACACCAGCCTATTGCTGTATTTTCCGGTTTATTTTACAAGCTCAAATATAACTCATTTTATGATCTTGTGATTTAATGCTTTATGGCCCTCCCTCTGATTTTTAATAGTGGTGGTGATAGGAAGACAGAACTCAAAATTTTCAAAACTTCTGTGAGGTTTCATATTTTGACAAGTTGTCATTATGTAAATACTCAGGTTTTACCTAATATACCAAACTAACTGGTAGAGATCTTTTGGATTGTCATTTAGGTACCAGTTTTATAAAGAATGGTCGTATATCATAAAATATAACATTACAGCTTATTTAAAGCCAAATATAGTTGACCATATTCAAAATGCATTTTCATAGATGGATGAATTGGCAGTTTCTTCAGAGTCAGGAACAGTTGAAAGTTTTAAAATGATGTATCTATAGAATATGTCTCATTGTGGATTTATATTAAGATTTTTTTAAATTAACTTTTTTCATTTGTAAAATTTAAATTTTAAGCCTTATATAGCAAATGGCCTTCAGATTTTGAGTACCAAGTATTTTATTTTGATTTTGTTGTATTAAACCCACCAAAACTAATATTTTTCTTTTGTGTTTTAATTATAATACTGAAATCTTATGTTAATAGTTTAGTTAATAAAATTTTATCCATTGGTTTAAAATAATAGAAATATAATTACTTATTACAACTTTAATTAGAGTTTTTTTGGAAACTTTTTTGTGCATTGATTATGTGTGTACTTTTTAACTTTTAAGTTCTTGGGCTCTTAAGATGATGAAGGCACTACTGAACAAAATTGTTTCCTCCTGTTTTAGTCTTTTAAAAATGACTTGTTGAATGATTTCCTTCTTGTTAGATAAATTAGATATTTTCTTCTAATGAAAATCCCTGGGTACAAATAAAAACAGTGTATCTTAGAGATATCTCAATTTTCTGACTGAATTAGTGACTCCTCCCCATCTTAATGGACCTGGTTAAGTTTCTAGCAGATTTCAAGCTGTTCTTAAAGTTTCTATTGATACTTTTCTCACAGTGCATAAAATCAAGACGATCACGAGTACTGAAACTATTTAAGATCTTTGTAGAATGCTCAGACTAGGAAAGTAATTGAAGTTACTGTCTCTCTTTTTCTGCTCTTGATCTGATAGTAAAAGAAAACCAAGCCAATTCACACTCAGAGTGATAAATAACTAATCTGGCTATTTAAATCTATTATTTGCTCTTGATATGAGAACCTTTAATTTCTAATAATAAATATCACAAAATGATATGTAATTATAATGACCTTAGGGATATGTCATTAAAATTTTTCTATGAGTGAGTATAAATTGCAGAATAGAAGTGAACAGCATTGAATCTCATTGCCAAATTATTGGTGAATGTATTGTTCAGATTTTCTGTTCTTTGAAACACATAATATTTCTAATTTTCCTAGTTCTATTTTAATATTAGGGTGTCTGTCTAGCCACCCGTCTGCCTATGTGTCTGACTATAAAGCTGTTAATCTTTGTCTGAAGACAGGAAGAGAGAATGGACCTGATGTAACAAAGGATTCTCTTTATTATGCTTTTTACTGTGATCACAGAAAAAAATCCAAGTACTCTCTAGATTGGTTGTAAACATTTTATGCTTGCATTTAAACTTGAAATATATGAACAGAACGAGACAATCAGTTAAATCAGAAATGAGAAGTTAAAATTTCATGACCTTATTTTGCTGTAGCAATAAAATGACCAAGTGCAATGACTTGATTTAATAAAATCATCTTTTAAAAGTTGCTGCTATGAATATTTTTAGCCATGAAATTTTACCCTTGTTGTAGTCTGACTTGCCTTCACTATATGTAATACAGCTGGTGTTGTATTCTAACATTCCAAAACTAAGAATATACATATATGGGGAAACTCAAATAGTATATACTTCACTGACTTGTTTACAGGTGCTGTAAAATAAAAATGCTTCTCTCTCAAAAGAAAAATTAATAATAAAGACTAGTACTGCCAGTTGTATCAGTCCTTATTGGTGTTTTTTTATTACTGTCAACATAAGCTTATAGCAGAGTTTGATGAAAATTATTTTACATTTGTTTTCCAAAGTGAAAGAGATAATGTAAGTAGTATAATGAAAGCATCATTTTTTTGGATTGCTGAATAATATTCCACTGTGTATATAAGCCACATCGTCTTGATCCAGTCATTTATTTTTGGGCATTTGGGTTGTTTCCAGGTTTTGCCCATTGTAAATAGTGCTGCAATAAACATAGGTGTACAGGTGTTCTTTTGAATCAATGTTTTTGTGTCCTTTGGGTAGATCCCTAGTAGTGAAATTGCCAGGTCATATGGTAGCTCCATTTTTAGTAGACTGAGGAACCTCCAGACAGCTTTCCACATTGGTTGGACCAATTTGCACTCCCACCAGCAATGTAGGAGAGTTCCTTTTCCACCACATCTTCGCCAACATTTGTTGTTGCTTGTTTTTTTTTTTTTTTTTTTTTTTTGATATGTGCCATTCTTACGGGTGTAATGTGGTATCTCAATGTAGTTTTAATTTGTATTTCCCTCATTATAAGGGATGTTGAACATTTTTTCATGTGCCTGTTGGCCATTTGCATTTCTTTGGAGAAATGTCTTTTAAATTCTTCTGCCCATTTCTTGATTGGATTGTTTGTTTTGTTTCTGTTGAGTCGTGTGAGTTCTATGGAACATTGTCACTAACAAAGAAAAGAAGGGTATAAGTTTAGAAAAGGAAAGCAAAAATGCCACAATTTTCAAATGATTAATATCTATGGAATAAACCCAAAAAATTTTAAGATAAATTTATTAGTTTATTTTTTCTTTTTGAATTTTCTTAATTGTGTTTCCTTTTCTTGCCAAGACTTCCAGTAAAATGTTGACTAGAAATACAAAAAAAAAAAAAAAAAAAAATCAAAAGTCCTAGACCTGTGTCATGATCAGTGAACCTTTGTGATTCTGTTTTATCACCTGAAGTGGAAATAATACCTACCTCCAGGATTATTGGTAGAATTTGGAATGATTTCTGTAAAGTGCCTTATAGCGTGCTTAGAATAGATTTTTTTAAAAAGGGAGTTGTTATTTTACTCTTTTCAAAAGCATTTTACGGTGATGGATATGATATAAATTCAATGGATCGGATTAAGAGAAAGGCATAGCAGTTCCTCTCTACCTGTTTTGGAATACACATTTTTCATTAGTACTGTTCAGAATGGAGCTGTTAGCAGCTTACAGATTCTACCTCTGTCTGATCCAAAGTGACTGGCCCAATGGAGAGGACTTTGCCCAAATCGAGTTACCGGTTTATGACATTGGGATTTTAAACGTGAAAAACAAAAGGAGCCTAGTATCCACAGTACATTCTATTATCACTGACTTTAAAGAACAAAATGGAGCATAAAGAGATGAAACGGAATCCAGAAGGATTTAAGGTCCGATGACCAGTCATTCCTGAGCCCCAGCTGTCCATACATTGTTTGGCTTCCTAGATGTAAACTTTCTCCTAAACTTTTTGGTGACTGAACTCACAACAGGAGGTTCTGGTAGACATCTTGGCTCACGTATGCTTGCTGAAAACATACCACATATGTGGCGCTAAGCTTTCTAGAAATCCAATAGAGTTGAATCATGGAAGAGGAGTTAGACACCATTATAAAGCAATATGGAAAGTAGGTGTGACAAATCATTTAAATACTGTTTTAGTTTGAAATCTAAAGATGTTTGAAAACACCTTTATAAACACTGGGAATAATTTAAGCTTTGCAGGCACATGACGGTAAAATTTTGGATTATAGAATCTGAGATTGAAGGGACATTAAGAGATTAATCCAACCCTGTGCAGATGATTTGTCTGAAGATAAAATTTACAGATTTAGCCCTATCCTAGGGAATAAAAGGCAGCAATTCAAGTGGATCTATTTAGGCTTTATTACCAATTAAGATACAAAGAACTAGACTGGGTCTGGGTGTTAAGTTTTTTTTTCCTGAGGCCTAACTGCTATTGCTTTAATTTTACCACTAATACTTTTATTGTGAATGTGATTGCATATAAAGGGAAAAATTAGAAGTAATTATCAATATTTTTGTATAGATTCAGTTTTTTTCCTTTTTAAGATTTTTATGCATACAAGAACTGGGGTGTAGGCCAAATGTGCAAGGTTGAGGGCCTAAGAGGATTCACCAGAGACAGCGGGGAGCAGAACAGGCGGATTGACTGAAATGCACTGAGGGGAGCAGTGGGTGAGACAGGAGAGGTCTGCTGCGCCATGTGGGTATCTCCCTGGCAGGGGATCAAACTCAGACCATTCTGGTGATAGCGCTGAGACTTAACCCCTAGGACACCAGAGACGCCCTAGATTTAGTATTTTTCTATGATGGAAGGCAGTATGATTTTCATTTTACAACAATGGGATCATTTTTCTTACCAGATTGGAGGTCTTTTTTTACATTATTGTTATTGGCTACTTAAGTTCCTAGATCATCATGTGAGTAAAGTTATTAAAGGACTTTTACATGTACAGAGTAACTTAATCCTTTAGTAAATGACTTAAAATTTCATAGTATAGTATATTTTTAGAACTATTTCTAGATGTTAATGCAAATACTTAAGAAATGGTGTGATAGTAATAATGTGTATTCCTCTCCATTGAAACAAAGCAATAAATAGATTGAAAGGTAGACGATGATTGAAAAGTGAGATGTATGATAAAAACAGGCCCTGTGATAGATTTTTCCAAAATGTCCATCTGATCATCTCAGGCCCAAGGAAGGGTGGTAGAACTGAAAGAGAAGCCATTCTAAAAGCGATCAATTTGAAAGCTGACAGCTGAGGGAGGGAAATGTGCTTTTTGGGAAAACAACGTTTGATGAGGGGGGTTGATTTAGATAAATAAAATTTTCTCCCCTCTGCTCCTGTGAACTAGATAGCAAATAGCTGACATCATTCAAAGGTGAATAAAAGGGGGCCTCCCTGGTGGCGCAAGGGGTTAAGACGCAACCTATGAAGCTATCCGCAGCCACTGCAGCACGAGTTCTATCCCTGCCAGGAAGATGACCTATATGGCGCAGCAGACCTCTCCTGACTCGCCCGCTGCTTCCCTCAGCAGTTTACTTCAGTCAATCTGTCCTGTTCACTGCTCTGCCTCTGGTGAATCCTCTCACCCTCCACACTCTGGCCTGTACCCCAGTTCTTGTATGTATAAATAAATATTTAAAAGGTGAGTAAAAAGCTGTGCCATCTACAGACATTTTGATGTGTGTGTACTACTCAAATATTTAAAAATTACCCTGAAGCAGGTTTTTTCTGCAAATAGAAATCCCTGTGTTCCAGGGATTTATAATATCTATAACATTAAGAAACACTTTAACAGAACTTTAAGATAAAGCGTGACTATCCCAAAGAGAAATAGAATTTTTAATTGACCAGTCACCATAAATAAACAGGAATGTAAAGCGCTAGCACTAAAAAAAGACTGCAAGGCCAGATGGGATCATAGCTGTGTTTTAACTGATATTTACTGAAAGCTTAAAGAAAAAAGATGGAATGTTTCCCCAACTCATTTTATTAGTCGTGCATAACTTTACTATCTAACCTTGATCATAGACCAAACTCACTTGTAAAGATTTGGTTACCAGGAGATTGATCAAATTTAATGTATAAAGGATAAGAGCCAAAGAAAATTTTGCTGACGGGGCAGTGTGGGAGTCTGGTGGTGGAGAATACAATGAAAATTTGCTACCACTGATTTCATGGGGACACTAACATTTCTCCCAACTATTATATTTATACCATTAGTGCAAATGTCAGCAGTGAAAATAACATCTTAGTATTATAAAAGTAGTTTTGATGTTGTGGACCACACCTTAAAGTACCGCTGATCTAAAATAACCTGTGTGGTCCCTACCATATATCAGGCAATTAGTAAATAGTGGGTGAAGCAATAAATGAATAAATGAATGACAGAATATGAATGAATAAATGAATGAAGAGAATATGTCCCTTCTTTGCCCCTGTCTTTACCCTGTCCTGCTTTTTTTCTTTATTCAAATAGCTTGAAATAGCTTCTCAGAACTAATCACTATAATGCCAGTTGTTATAAAATACCCTTCCTGGGCTCTGTGTTTGAGTCTTAAAATGTCTAACATTATAATGGGATTTTAAGCGGTCAGTTTAATTGCCCTAAGGTTTATAGTGAACTTTACTGTAAAAACAGGCATACTGTCAAAAACTGATAGTACAAAATCTGTTGTACTTACCATGCAACTACATTGTTCAGCTAATCAAAACGAATTCTCATCTATCAATCCCCTACCTAATCACCTCAACAATTCTATGTGATATGTAGTGACATTATTCTCATACGCGAAAACAGGCTCAGGGAAAACAACTTGACCAAGGCTGCTCAGCTAATAAGATAAGTAGGGATGGACCTGAGGGCTGAACCCAGATGGGCCAGTTTTGAAGCCCGTGCTCTTGGTGATGTTATCCCTACATAGGTAAAGCCTAGGAAAGGAGGAACCTGAACTGGGAATTTCTCCTATGTGTGTTTATTCTTTTTAATCTTTTATATTGACTCTGAGTGTCAAGTTTTCCACTGGTAAGGAATTAGTCTAAATCAAAATCCATTTGCAATAATCTCCTAGACTCCAGACTTATCTGTATTACATGATTGCACATAAATTAGCATTTTAGGGACCATTTTTCATAATGTACATCTTTGCAAATCTTTTTTAACATTGAGAAATCCTTGATTTTGAATACCTGAAAGTTTTGTTATAAAAATTTCCCATAACCATATGTATCAGAGTATTACATGTTCACACCTCAGTTGACTTATTTTAAAAGAGAAAAAAGATTGCAGAGAACAGTGCTTGCTTAGGAGTGTTTGCTATTTGCACCTTATGAATATAAACTTTGTAAGTTTTTCAGCATTAACATCACTTTTGCCTAAGTATTGTTTTTTACTGACAATAGTTGCGTGCCTGGAGTGGCTGGCCCTGATTTTAAGCACTTTTCATTCATGATATCATTAATCCTCACTCCCTTGGGAAATAGATATCTTTTTATTTTAGCAAGGACAGGAAAAACAAAAACCCTACTTCTGGTATAGAAATAAATGGCCACTAGGTGGCAGTCAAATATAGCTCAGCTGAGTTTGTGTACCGAGTAAACCACAAATATCTGTAGCAGCTGCAAATAGAATCAGGGGCCCAGTTCTTGTATGCAAATAAATAAATCTTTAAAAAAAAAAAAAAAAAAACAGAGGCTCCAACCTATTAAATTCACTGGGACATGACCCCTCTTCTACCCTAGCCTGGCCACTTCCCTGGGTAAGTTCCCTTTGATAGGGTGAAAACAGTTGAGGCTTTGGAATCCGAGATTGCAACTGATCTGGCTTTGAAAACTGGCTTAAAAATTAGTAGCTGTGTGGATTTGG